AAAGTAGGCTCTAATTTGATTGTTTAGAGCCTAGGCTCTACGCAAACCGTACCCTTTAAAAATAAATAAAATTACTCCTATGAATATTTCAGGGAATATTTCAGGGGTTAGATGTATACATGCCTTAAATTTCAAATAAATTTGATTTGTAGTAAAAATATCGAATTCAATTTTTGGATCATCATAGCCATATGACGAACTTTGAATGGTGATGAGCTACCAGTGAAATACTACATCGCAAAAACACACAAAGTTTGAATTATGCATCCCTTCAAATTAGAAGAGGAAAAATGAATGGCCGCATGTAGTTTGAATTGTAGTTCTTTTCTCTACAAACTTGTTTTATATGAATTTTGGGGATTACACGCCTCTCAAGTACTTGAAGAAAAAAGAGTAATGATCCTATAGAACCCTCCCCTACCCATGTGCCCAAAGGATCACTATTAAATTTGGCACGGATCTTTAGAAAAGTTATCACATGGATGTGGGACTTGATATTTTTAAATATCCGTGTCAAATTTAATGGTGATCTGTTGGAGTCCTACACACTTAGGTGGGAGAGGGTCCTATTGGATCCTTTCTCAAAACAAAATATAAGAAAAATAATTCGGGTAAAATTTTAACCAAGATGCTCCATTAACTTTCAATTCTTTTAATTATCTTCTACATATTAGTTTTATAAACATTCCCCGAATGCTAATGTTTATAATATCAAGTAAATGCATGGAGGCATCCTTATGCCTAACCCCTTGTTGTCCCCTGTGCTGCAGGTTTCGGCTGTGGCATCGGAGCCCAGGGTTTCGATGCATCGTGGTCCTCTATCTGTGCAAGGGGAGCACAATGGAAGTGACAAAATCTTGGATTGAGCCCTAGAAATTGGTGTTGTATGGATGGATTTTTTCGTGTAAAGTGTTTGAAACCTTCTCTTGATCCCATGTTATTCTTTTTCTAGTCTCTAATGAATAGTGACTCTCTCTGTCTTTCCCTATCTTTTTGAAGTATTAAACACTCCGGACTTCAGTGAAAATTTTGACCGAAAAGGGCATACCCCAAGGTATAACCCAACTGGTGGAGTCTTAAGACAACAGATTGCGTCAAAACTCAAAAAGGAAAGAGTTTATATAAGGTTGGAACCCTATATTATACATTTAATATGCATTTTAAAAATTCAGCGGAGCAGAGTGTTTTGAAGTTTGAAAAGCTTCCAATTGATCATTTCAACTTCAAGCTGTATAAAAAGAAAGAAAATAGAGGATTTTAAGTCCTAAGAATAGAGGATCTTGATCTCTTTGTTCTCCACAGTCTCGATAGTCGGGCTACTGTACACCTTTGAAGGAACGAGATCCAAAAGAGAACAGTTGCTATTGCCTCTTTAGCTGCGGATTTGGCGAAAGCGACAGGATGGAGTTTCCATCTATCACAGTAGCATATATAGATAATATTAAAATTTGATGGCACATTGTGCACTCTAATTCTTCTATAGGGTTGTCTAAAAATATACCATTTAAAATGAGTGGTTGTAAGAGTATTAGTGAATAAGATACAAAGTTCGAAAAACAAATTTTTCGGATTTTGTGACCCACCTCAATACATCCAATTTGGCATGAGTGGGAATGATTGTAATCATATACAAAAGATAGTCTTCTTATAAACAATTTTTTATAAACAATTTCTTGTGTTATTATGGTTCCTCTCTTACCAACTTTGGAGTGGTTGGTTGTAGAATTATTGAAAATAAAATGGGAGGTTCTTTGCCCTTTTTTGTTATCACTTTATTTTCAGCTCTTGGAAGGGGCATCCAGCTTCCTATCAATATGCATTGCTTTCCCTTCTTTCTAGGGCTGCCATAAGCTCTCTCAATAACAAATTTGATTTTGGATCCAATTTGTTGTTTGACAACTCAGAAGCAAACCGTCTTTGCTACATTATTTCGCACGTCTACCGAGAGTAGTACGTGCTTTTCATTTTCCTCCATCCTAGCAAACGGAAGGAGCAGATAGACAGTATGCTCTCGCTCGGAGTGAGTAATCAAAACAAAGGCACGTGTAGCTAGGTGCAAGTGTTCACCAAAAAAGCACATGAAGCCCTCCGGAAAGGAACGAAATGGGGCAACTATGGAAAGATTCCGTGACAGCCGTCGGGAAAAATACGAAGGAGACATCATAGGTGAGAAATCACAGCCCCGAGAGCTGGAGAGACAAGGACCGAACCATTTTGCATTGGTGCAGGGGCTTTAACGCTGCATATTGCAGAAGAGAAGAATTGCACAGGAGACCATTGAAGAATCCATGGCCAAAATTGAGAAGAGACAAGTGTTTTATCCTTTGCAAGGACAATAATTTATTGGGTTTTTCTCTCTTGCAAGGATTTGATCAGTTTTGTATATGAAACTAGATAATTTCTTCTTCGTCATTGAAGAGAAATCAACAGAAAATGGTTGCATATGAAACTAGATATTGGATTTTTCTCTCTTGTAAGGATTTGATCAGTTTTGTATGTGGAACTGGATATTTTATTCTTCTTGATTGAAGAGAATTCAACAGAAAATGGTTGCACTTGTTTCAAACGCTATACCCCGATCCATTTTGCCCCATGAATCTTTCGTCCCCTGCACCATGACTCAACCTCAAATTTGCCCCATGAAATCCCCAAATAACAATAAGATTAATTTAAATTTGCTCTCCAATTCTCCACTGAAACTCCCTCTTACAAAACCTATCTCAAACAAAGAGTATCAAAATTCTTCATATCTCTACAACACCATGATTAGAGACCTGATTGACAAGAACCTATATGATGATGCTCTCTCCCTGTACATTGAAATGGTGAAAGATGTTGTTTTTCCTGATGATTTCACCTTCCCATTGGTGCTCATGGCTTGCTCCTCTATAGTGGGGCTAAGAGAAGGCCAACAGGTTCATAGCCACCTGATTAAGCAAGGATTTTCCATTGGTAATGTGTATGTACAAAACAGTCTCATGCATATGTATTCTTCTTGTGATAAACTACATTTTGCACGCCAAGTTTTTGATGAAATGCCCGTAAAAAGTTTGGTTTCATGGAACACAATGATTGCTGGGTACTCAAAGCTCAATGCTCATGTATTTGTCCCAGATTGTAGAGGACTCCAAGATGCTATTTTGCTTTATGCACTAATGAGGCATCGATGTATCAGTCCTGATAAATTCACATTCACCGTCGTTCTTAGAGCTTGTGCTTCGGTTCCTGCTGTTTTGGAGGGGCATCAAGTCCATGCTCATGTCGTCAAATTTGGACTTGAATCAGATGGGTTTGTGAAGAATGGCATGGTTGACATGTACTCGAAATTTGGAGATATGGGTTATGCTAGAAAGGTATTTGACGAGATCCCTAACAAGGATTTGGTCTCTTGGAATGCTTTAATTGCTGGTTTTATAAGGTTGGGTGATATGGGTTCCGCTGAGGCTTTGTTCAGGGACATGGCTGAGAGGGATATCGTTACTTGGAATGCCATGATCACAGGATATGCACGCAGCGAGCATGCTAGTGAGGCATTGGCACTTTTTCGACAAATGCAAGCCGAGGGCATTAGGCCTAATGCAGTTACTATTGTGGGTGTGCTCTCGGCTTGTTCACTTTTGGGTGCATTGAGCTTAGGCATGTGGCTTCATGCATATAGTGATGAACATGGGTTCAGTTCAAATGAGTATGTTAGTGCCACATTGATTGACATGTATGCCAAGTGTGGAGATATTGGAAAGGCTTTCTATGTTTTTGAGAGGATGCCTTACAGGGATGTTGTTGCTTGGGATGTTATGATTGAGGGGTTCGCCATGAATGGGAGGGGGCAAGAGGCATTGAGGCTTTTCGAAAGGATGAAAATGAAAGGGGTAGAGCCTGATGAGATTACCTTTGTTGGGGTATTGAGTGCCTGTAGCCATGCTGGGTTGGTTGATGAAGCCTTCAAACATTTCGAAAGCATGGGCTCTGAGTTTGGTATTTTACCTAAAGTTGAGCATTTCACATGTCTGGTTGATCTCTTGGGTCGAGCTGGTCGCTTACGTGATGCTTTGGAACTTATTGAGACCATGCCAATGAATCCGGATAGTGTTATTTGGGGTGCATTACTGAGTGCTTGCAGAATTCATGGAGATATCGAATTAGCCGAATGTGCACTACAGCACATAGTTCAAATAGGTTCAGATGATGCGGCCAATTATGTTCTTTTAGCGAATATATACTCTAAAAAGGCCAAATGGGAAGAAGCTGTGAAAGTGAGACAGTTGATGAAGTCAAAGGGCCTGAGTAAGGAACCTGGGTGTAGTTTGATTGAACTGGCAGGTGAGGTTCATGAGTTTTTAGCAGGGGATGTTTCTCATCCCCAATATAGCAATATTTCAACTAAATTGGATGATTTAGTTAGGAACTTGAAGGCTGCTGGTTATGTGCCAAAAATAGGCTCAGCGTTGAGAGATATGGTGGAAGAGGAGGAGAATGCACTGCACCATCATAGTGAGAAGATCGCTGTTGCCTTTGGGCTTATCAGCACGGATCCTGGCACCATGATTCGGATCGTGAAAAACCTTCGAATTTGTGAGGATTGCCATTGTGCACTCAAGCTGATTGCAAGATTGGAAGGACGCGAAATCATAGTGAGAGATCGTAGTCGATTCCATCAGTTTTGTAAGGATGGCACTTGTTCATGTAGCGATTATTGGTGAAACTCAGCCTTTGAGAACCAACATATTGGCTTGGTGACAAACATGTAAGATAAATTCAATTTATTTTTATTTTATCGCCATTGTTTCTAATGCTGATAATAACTCCAGTATTATGCCCAAAACATCAATTTGTCACGATATTTTAATGCTTCCCATTATTATCGTGACAAAATGCTCTTCTGGTAGTACCATGTATCAATCTGAAAGGACAATTAATAATTTGTGTTTGAAAGGGAACATGTGACTTACCTGAAAACATCTCTAAGATATTAATGGGGCAAATACGAGCAATTCACAAGTACTTGAGCAGGAATATGTAAGTTAAAAGCTTGTAAGATGGACAATGAGTTTTTATATTTTGAATTTGTTTTACCATATAAATTAGAGTTAGTTTTATCATTTCACAAAAAAATTAAAATATTTGTGTTTCAATTTACATAAAATTATAATTTAAGATCTATATTTGTTTGTCATGATCGAAATGTATTCGTTAATTAATGATATATTAATTTTTGAGTCACAGTAATTATCTGATAAATTCTTAATAAAAGAAATCAATATGATATCTCAATTAAACTCGATCTTTTGAAGTGCAACAATTTCAATGGGACTTTTTTTATTCCTTGTTGTCTTAGTTTACAAGTGAATTGAGATGGTAAAAAATAACTATCACAAGTACTTGAGATGTAACCCTACATCAGAGCAAGTGAGCGGTTTTAACCAGTGTTCTAGGACACAGAGGCCGGGTCCTATCAGCCCTGAGTTGTGTTGTATGCACAACTTGGGGCATATAAAATAATTTTAAAAATATAAAAAATTTTAAAAAATGTAGAAACATTGTATAGAAATTTCACTTTTCGATGTTTTGGCAAAGATTGGTGACTGTTTGTGCCATAATCCCCCTTTTCTTTTTTTTTAATCTTTTTTAGTGTCCCAAATTGTAAATCAGCTTTTTCGAATCCATTTTTTTTTCTAACTTCTAAAGTTTGTTTTAATTTTTTTGAAACTATTTTTTTATTTTATTTTACTTTCTCCATCTTTTTTTATTTTACTTACTTATTTTTCTATTTTTAAGGGCCATATGCATTACTCGGGCGAGTCTATTCAGATTTACCCTACCAACACGGCTAGGCCAATGGTTTCAGAAACTTGGTTTTAACAAGGTAGATAGGATATAAATGGGAAAATATTATCTATGATACCAAACTATGAAACTCCGACAAACATGTCCATGGGATTGATGCAAAATTTCAAGGTGTGTGTGCACCCGGCTCTATTACTTTAAAGAGCTATTTAAAATTAGTAAATGGTAGGAAATGTTTGTCTTATCATTGGGATTTTTATGGACTTTTAAAATCATACAATTGTATATTCAATGCATTAAGGAAAAAAACGTTTTCCTAAGGCTTAGGATCAAACGTAATGTCACATCTCGGATCCCACTGAAAAATGAAGTTGTGATGCTAATAAAACTCTCAAATTGATCATTTTGACTTCGACAATTATGAATTTGAAAGAATAAAGGATTTCAATATCTAAAAATCATTTATCTTGTGATACATTAGTTGGAGTATTCCACCTTAGATGTACTTATATTGAAATAGTAGAATAAGGTGTAGAAATAGATTTGCAGCCCATTATAGGGATTATGGATTTGTGAGGTAGATCTTATGTTGATTGCACGTATTTTAATATGAAAATAGCATATGCATTCGTGGGGATCTAATGTATATTTGATGTCTCAACAAAACTCTTGATTGGAGTACTTTTAGAACACTAGAACTTTAGTACATGACTAGCCAATCTAGCCGTAGAAATAGTAATAGTAATAGTAATAGTAATAGTAATAATAATAATAATAATTGATCATGTACTTTAGAAGTACACGAGAAAACATCACATCTTGGGATTAAACACACACCATCCAATTCGTGAACAGTCATTTCATGAGAATTCAAAATCCCTGTTTTTTGGTGAAATTATTTCATTTTAGTGCTTCTAAAGTGGATATGGAGGTTTCGTATAAAAAAACATCACCCCAAGTTGAGACTTTCTACCGAGTTTTAAAAAAATGGCAACCTTGGAATCGCCTGATTCCTACTAATATTTTATTATTTATCACTATATTAGCTTTCTTTGTCGAATTCCCTTCGATGAATTGACTGATCTAAATCGCAAAGCCATTTTGTTTTTTCAAACACTGCTTTATAGGGGAGGCCCAAATTCCTTCAGCCATAGCCCATCACACCAGCAATTAATCAATCTATTGAACCCTATCGTCAATTCACTAACACGGTTTTTCAAAACCCTATTTCAAAGTCTGTATTTGTTGGAAAACATAGATTACTCTTCTGTTTTAGATCGCTAAATTGTGAATTTGTTTGATCTGGAACAAAATGGTAAGATTAAAAAAAATTTATAGTAGTTATAAGTTTGAAAAATGTTGAATAATATATCAGTAACAGGTATTTTCATCATGAAAGAGCGGCTCTCTCATCCTCATGCAAACCCCACAACTTCTTGAAACCTCGTAAATCCCAAATCTATTCCCTCTCTAAATAAACGTAGCATTTTCATTTTTTCCCTCTAAAAAACTAAAGAAGCTCAAGCCCATCCATAATAGCCCTAGGCAGCGTTTTTGTTAAGCTATCTAAACATGTAGAGAGATAATCAAGCATCCTGACTTTCTTCAAACACGTCATTTAGAATACGAGAAACATTCCAAGAGCTCAAATTGAACCTCGATTCATCGGAACGAACCGAATTCCACCCATGTTTTTTAACCATCGAATATATCCTCTCTGCAAAATCCCACACTTTCCTTGATAGGGTTAACTTATTTTCTCGTGAAAAACAAAAAATTATCACAAATGGGTTCATCAGAAATCATTTGTTCTTTCTCTAAAGAACACGGTAACCCCAAGTTTCTGATTGATATACACTTTGCAAAGCTCTTTTTCACAGTAAAAGTGAAGCTCGATGCTGTGACTGAAAAAAAAAGAAAAAAAAAAAACAAACCTCATTTCTCTTTCCCATTTTTCAACCTATTAATTGTGATCCCCCTCTCCTCACTTTCTACTTCTCCGTTCTCACGGTAACCACATCTCCTCTCTTTCTCTCTCCACATACATGGCAGCCATAGACAACTTCTTTATAAGGCTAATTTTATCTCTCTACAAAATGCGAGTATTTTTCCTCGTACCACACTTATGGAAAACGCCCTTGCTTAATGAATAAGGAGAAACTTGAGTTGTAGGTTTGCTTATTGTATCGATGCTAATTTTTTACTGCTGTGAGGGATTCCGAAAAGCCTTTTGGAAGGGCGACTTTGCTTTTAGTATGTTCACTCCGTCCAAATGGTCGAGCATAATCATAAAAAAAGATGACAATGTTCCTTAATTAAGGATGAAAAAACTTGTGATTTATTTCAATTTGAAAGTTTTTTTATTGGGTACGGTTTGTATAGAGCCGAGGCTCTAAACAATCAAACTAGAACCCACCTTCAAATAATGTCGAGAAATATAGTTTTAATATTGGAAAGTTTCTAATAGCATTAAATTATATTTTCATCTTTTAGTTTTAAAATTTAAAGCTTAAAAAATAGTGTAGATCGAGTTAATCTATAAAAACTTGAAAATCTTGAAAATGGACAGTCCAAAAATACGGTACGAGATGTACTAGCTTCAAATTTTGAAATCCATTTTTTTCTCATGTTCATGCATCTTGATGTAGGGATGATCAATTTGATGATATCTTGACATCAAAACAACCTATTATAACGAAGGCCAATAAACCTTATATAAACTTATTCCTTTCATAAATTGACCTTTTCAAATTGGACAATTTTACCCCCACTAGCTTAAAGGTATTCGGTTCTACGAACGGAGAGGGAAGGGATGGATACGGGGCTTCGGCGTCTTTTCGTAGTCCACAAAAAAAACCAAGCGAACCCTAGAAATGACAAAAAATGCCCCACTCTACACCAAATACGAATCATTTGATTTCGTTTACCTCTCCCGCCATGAAGTATCCCCAACAACATGCAGACAAATGCTAGGGATAGATTCGTCATTTTACTCTCACAGGGAGCTTGAAACCGGATAAACCGAGTGCTCTTCTCTGAGCATTTGTTGCAGAGAGAGAGAGAGAGGAAATGGTGCGCTCAATTCATTGCTCTCATGGCGGTAGACCTCCTCAAATTCTCTCCCTTTCTCTCTCCTCCAAAACGCTAACATTCCCTCTCTCTCTACCATCTTCCTTAACCACTTCATTCCCTTGTCTCTCCTTGAAACTACGCCCTAGGAAATCTCGAGCTCTTGCTGGCACTTCAAAGTCAAATAATTCACTGAAAACAGTTCAATGCTCCTCTTCTGATTCAAACCCTAGAAATGTCGACGAGTCGAATTATATGCCCCAGCCTTTCTCTGTGAAAATCCCCGTTGGTGATCGACATGTAAGTTTCTTCAGTTTGTTGTTTTGTTATAATTGCTATTATATAGGTTTTTGTTTATTCTATACGGTGAATTAGAGTTGCTGGGTTTTGTATGGGGTGGTTTTCTTGTCGCTTTATTTAGTTGTTTTTACTGTAATTATTCTTTGCTGCCTGACATTTGGTCTTCTGATGTCTCTCGTCTTGTATGTATTTTGGGGTAGATTCTATCTCTTCAAACGGTCGATACTGCTCTTGCTTTCATATATTTGTTTTTTTTTTTTGATGAACTTATTTTGGGGAGGGCCTGATTTGCCCCTCGACCCTGGGTAGGAATCGAGCCTAGGAAATTAGGTTTGCAATCGTCAAGCGCTAACCAATCCATCCTGTGCTCTTTTCTTTTTCTTTCATATATTTGTTATCCTTGTTTTGTTGTTTAGCTTTCAGTGGAAGTGTTTGTTTGTACTTGTTATACCCCATATTATCCTGCTTTTTGGAGATCATTTTTGTTGTGATTGATTCATATGTAATGATGCTATTCTCTGATTCTAAGGTTTCATTATGCAAATTTGGTAGTTAAATTTCCTGCCCGTTTAATTTCTTATTTCGCAAGATTTTTTTTTTGCCTTCGCCCTTCAGTGGGTTTTAACAATGGACATAGGATTTTTTGACCCTGCCTCTAGGCCAAGAGGGTGAACCTGTTGGCGAACAAGCAGACAGTCCCTCAAGCTCTAATACCTCTTTCTTGCGGAACAAATACATGGGCCTATCTACTGAATTGCCCACTTGGAAGGACTGGTGTACTCCGTCATTTTATGTCCAGCTCAATGATGGTGTGAACCACCATTGAACACACGCGCCCCTGGGGCATGCATGAATCCCACATTTTGCATATCATGATTACAATCAGACAGAGCCTCGCACTGGATAGGAGTGTGAGTAACTTGCAAACTGAGGTGACTAAGTTATCTCTCAGCAGACAACTTAAAATAGCGATAATTAGCTGACAAACAACTATCTTGCAAAATGGGACCAGTATAGCAAACCCTGAGAGAAACAATGGTATTTCACACCTGCGATAAAGAGGGAGGGAAGGAGGGAGGGAGGGGGTATTTATATTATTTGAGAAAGATAATATTTATAAACTGTATTTTTATCTAATAGAAATATATCATATTGAAACATAAGTAGTGAGGAAATTTTATTATATTCCTCATCTTTTCCATACATAGAGGGGAGTGCGGGGTGGGGTTGAACCCATTCTGCAGCTTGATGGGGGGTTGACTCTCTGTGCCCACAAACAATGTGGGACCAAACATCCAACTCTAGAAAAGCAAACTAAACAACAACAGCGACAACAACAACAACAACAAATTAAAAAAAAAAAAACTAACCTAGTATGTAGATTTTTTTTTTTTGAGAAGATAACTTGTATTAAGAGCAAGGAGTAAGTATACAAAAAAGGGGGGCCCTGTTTACAGGGTCAGGAGACAACTTGAAAGAAAATTAGATACAAAACTGTGCAACATTCTGTGCATTCTCGATCTGTAAATTTGAGGCTGTAACTGTGTACAAAAATGGTTTTAATTGTCAATCTCTGGCGTAGCTGCTGTTCCTTCTTTTTAGGTGGTCGTGTCAGAGATTGGCAAATACAAACATTTTCTAAACACATGGGCATCTCCTGTTTTGTTATCACAGGCAAGAGGTTGATGCATCCATTCCACACCTTTTTTCCAAATGAAGTTGTACTCCACTTCAATGTGTTTCATTCATGCATGAAACATTGAATTCTTTGCCAGTCGGATGGGCTATCATTTGTAGTGAGGGCCAAATGCATAGTTCATGTTTTGCTTCATGTACTACATTAGTTGCATGAGCCACTTGCATTCCTGAGCTGTCATTGATATTGCTTTATATCAATATCTGTAGTCAACAAAGATACAATTAGTCGACACTTGATGCACGAGCCACACACACTCCCATATTGAACACATAGCTGGTAGTTACTCTGTGGGTCGTTGAGTCATCCGTATAATATGCATCACACACCACAACCACCTTACATGATACTTCTCTCTCGTAGAGAACCCCATAGTCAATTGTGCCTTTGACATATCATAGGATAAGTCGAGCTGCTTCCAAGTGAGTCTTGTGTAGGTTCTGCACAGACCTGCTCACAAGGCGTGAACAATATTTGGTCCTAAACTCTTAATAGAGTCATATAAATTGAACTCCTGACTAATTGTCTATACATCTTATCCTCATCACTCCCCGATGCACTTCTCAACCTCGCATTGACTTCCATGGATGTTGAGGCCTTCTTGCCTCTTCATGCTTGATATGGCCAATGCCGCCTATTCACTGCCCCACAATTCCAGTGGTTTTACGAAGGATCAGTGCTGGCATCTAACAGAATCCAGTCCACAGATTTTAATATGAATATGGCAAAGATATTTATGCACCCAGTCCACAGAATTTCATATGAATATGGCAAAGATATTTATGCACCCAGTCCACAGAATTTCATATGAATATGGCAAAGATATTTATGCACCATACATCCTGAAATGGGTCAGTTTAGTAAATGGAACTAAAATTCATTTGGAGTGATCCATGTGTTTACTTGGTGAGTTTTGGTGTACAACATGAAAGATTTATAATCTTGGTTTCTAGTTTTAATGGATAAGATGATATCCATCTAAAGGTAAGAAATGCTTGGAGAACACGGAAAATATACTAACTATTAACTTTTAGTTGTGCATGTTCTGTGTGGTTATAGTATTTCATTTTGTGATTACTATTGTTTTTCAAGAGGATTCCATCCATGGAATTTCTAATAGAGTAGGAACACATGAAGTATATGTTCCTTTCCTTCACTTTTGTCAAACTCTCAAGGATAGTTGTCATGTACTATTTCAGATCCTTGTCGAGACTGGGCTCATTGGGAGACAAGCTAGTGGAGCTGTTACAGTAACAGATGGGGAAACTGTATGTTTTTATGTATTCCTTCTATTTTCTGTGCTATGGTCCATGGTCCATTTAAAATTTCAGGTTTAGCATCAAGGTCTAGTTGTAGTTATATCTCTATTTCCTTCAGAGTTGTGATTAATTTTGATAATAAGTTTATGCTCTTTTCGTTAGATTGGTTGAGTTCTTTACATGTTCTTTTGCTAGATTATCTACACATCTGTCTGTTTGGCTGATGTCCCAAGTGAGCCTTCTGATTTTTTCCCTTTATTTGTCAATTATCAAGAGCGTTTTTCTGCTGCAGGCCGAACTAGGTATGGTTTGCTTCTGAGTTTTGTTTAACAATTGAAACTTTGAAATCTGGAGACCTTTACCTTTGAATTACTATTGATGTAAGTTTTCATTTGATACGCAGTGGTGGGTTTTTCAAACGAGAAGGGAGGGCAAGAGATCATGAGGTAACGTATACTACGTTTGTTTATTGATTTTTTTTTCCTCATGAATTTGCTATTCTGGCTGTCCAGTCCATCAATTTTTACATCTTTAGTCTGCTAAAAAGAATAAAAAGTTATGTCTGTTGTCTGCTGTTCTAAAAGCTTAAGTATGTCAATGTAACCGAATGTGCCAATCTGGGGTTCTTTGTTGACTGTTGATTTTTGTTAGTTTGTGGCCTCTTTTTGTTGTTGGTTGGCCCCATATGGAAATGATAGTCAAGTCATGCTTCAACAATACCATGAATACGGCTTATCAATTTTAAAACTGTTGCTTTGTTGTAGTTTGGTTTCATTTTATCCACTTTTTTGTGGAGCCTTGGTCCATGCATCATGTATTGTTGTACCAAAAGATCGTGTAACATATAGCTTCTATAATCAGTTGCTTCCTTGGAGAGTGGTTCTTTCTCTCTCTCTCTCTTTCTCTCTCTCTCTCTCTCTCTCTCTCTCTCTCTCTCTCTCTGTCTGTCGTGTGTGTGTGTGTGTGTGTGTGTGT